TCTCATGTCTCTTATTTCGTTGTTGCCAGGCGAATTTTGAACCTGGAACGGCCCATTCTACAAGCAGAACGGGCTGTTCTACAAGTAGAACGAGTTGTTCTACTTGTAGAACGGGCTGTTCTAAAAGTAGAACGGCTCGTGCTGCTTGTAGAACGGGTCGTTCTGCGAACAAAAAAGCCCGTTCTACAAGTAGAACGAGCCGTTCTGAGGCCGTTCCAGAATACAGTTGTAGGCATTTTTCGTATTCCAGAACAACCTGTTCCCATTTAGGAATTAGGATAATTCTCCTTTGTGCATAAAGAACAAATAAGTAGATAACTTGGAGGATATTTTTATACTGATTTGGCGTGAGGATATTTTACTATATTTTCAGGCCTACTAGTGAGTTCCCACATCCTCTTTCCCGTGTTAAGCAACAATTGGCTACAGAGTGATTTCTATAGTCTGTCTGTTAATCTGATGTTGGCCAATCTATTAATTTCCCATGGCATGTCTAAGTTATTGTTTTGTTTTGTATTTCGAGTCTTTCAGCTGTCATATCAAATAGTTGATGCTTTAATCTGGCTTGGAATTCGAGACTTGATAAATGAGTTTAGGAAGAAGAGGCTGAAGCTAAAGCCTATTACTTATCTAAGTGGATCTTACACGCACCCCTATGATGTGCCCCATGGTTATATATGGAGCCCTCACTTATTCCCTAAGCCAAAAGGTTAGATATTTATTTAAAGTGTGCTCTCACATTATTGTCCTCAAATTCCAATACTGATATACCACTATAGTTGTATGCAATTGTTATAACTATAAGTAGGTTTGATACGTACTGCCCTCGTTGGATTTTGTTTCCTTGACCTTGCTTCAAAGTATGAACCACCAAAATCCCTAGTAGATTGGCTTGAAGAGGGAGAGAAACCTATTTATGTTGGATTTGGTAGCCGTGTGAGTTTCACTCTGATGAATCTGCAGAATACGTTGTCTAAATATAACTTTTCCTAGTAACATTTGCTAGTAGTATATATATGTTTGTGTGTCAGACTCTGGCTTGTTCCATACTTGCATTGAAAACCAAATGAGCCTTAACTTTTCATCTTTAATTTTTTTTGGAAAGTTGTCTATGAGAAGGGAAGTTAAGAGATCATTTTTTCTGATTTGTTCCAGGAAGTGTCCGTAACTTCAATGTTATTTGTTCCAAACTAACTCCACTAAAGAAGAAAGACCTGTCTTGAATGAAATTCTATATGATTATAATATAGGATTGTATACTCATTGAAAAACAAAAGTAGAAAAGGCTTTACCTAGAAGTTAAAAGAAAGTCTCTTCTATTTCATGTATTTGCCAAAACAGAGAAATGAAACGGTGGAGAAACAAACCTCTTTATGTTGAGCTATAATTCTGCATTTGCAGGTTTTGTTCAGGGATCCTCCTAAAACAAGTCAAATATTTTAAAAAAATTAACCACTTTTAACATCGGTCACGCCATAACCGATGTTAAAAGTTAGACTTTTAACATCGATCATGCCATAACCGATGTTAAAAGTCTAACTTTTAACATCGGTCAAGCGTGACCGATTTTAAAAGTTAGACTTTTAACATCGGTCACTGACCGATGTTAAAAGTCCCACTTTTTAAAATCGGCTCTTTTAAAATCGGTCAGAGAACCGATTTTAAAAGTTAAAAATGACCGATTTTAAAAATGTTTTTTCCACTAGTGAAGTCACAAGTGGATGTGGCTAAACCAATATAAATTGGCTATGCATTTTTCTTTCTCCCTACATTTGACTTTACATTCTTGCAATTTTAGTTCTATGCTTGTTGTTATGTGTTGTGAGATATAAACATTGCATATAGAATTGAGTGAATTTAGACTTGTGTTGAATATGAACTTGACATCCTATATACAACTATAGATCAATATACTTCTTTGAAAAGATTTAGAAAAAATTTTCAAAACTAAGATAGTTGTGTAAGAAACTTTTAAGCAACCAATTCACCGCCCTCTTAGTTAGACCATCTTTTCTAACACTACCTATTCTAGGCTGTTCTCATTCTATCTTGGATTAACCTTAATTTCTCAGTGGTTTGTTGAAGTACCTTAGGTTAGAACATGGAACTCTGCCCCAATTCTACCCAACATAAAGGTGTCATACATCTCCTACTTTAGAGAGCTTCGTAGGGTGTAATCCCAATAGTAGAGTGGTAACTATTGTTATATGTGAACTCTATCAAATGTAGAAAGTTATTCCAACTACCCCTATGCTCAAGGACACATGTTTTCAATAAATCTTTTAAAAATTGAATGGTTCTCTTAGTTTGACCATCTATTTGACGGTGATAGGCTGAAATCAACCTAAGTTTAGTACAAAAAGTTCTAAGCAAACTCTCTCAAAACTTGAATGCAAATCTAGGGTCTCTATCATAAATTATGCTAGATGGAACCCTTTGAAACCTCACAATTTCCCCTATGTACAGTATGGTCAATCTCTCCAAAGGGTACCTAATGTTAATAGGGATAAAATGGGTAGACTTCGTTAATTTATCAACTATTACCCAAATAAACTCTAGGTTCTTTGCGATTCTAGGTAACCCAACCACAAAATCCATGGAGATACTATTCCACTTGTACATTGGTACATCTAAGGGTTGCAACTTTCCTGATGGCTTCTGATGTTCTACCTTAGACTTTTGACAAACTAGACAGACGTACACAAACTCTTTTACCTCGCTCTTCATCCTAGGCCACCAAAACATTCTCTTAAGGTCTTGGTACATTTTAGTGGCTCTTGAATGAATACTAAGGCTGCTTCTATTTCATTCTTCTAAGATCATCTTCTTAAGTTCCAAAACACAAGGTACATATAGTCTATCCTTAAGTCTCAACACCCTATCTACACCTACTTTAAACTCACTATCATTCCTTTGATTCAACTTCTTTACTTGACTTAATAGAAAATGATCTACCTTCTGGCTCTCTCTAATCTCACCTATCAAGCTATTGGTTACTCTCAAGGTTCCCAATCTAATTCTCTTAGGAGTCAACTCGCATACTAAGATAAGGTTTCTGAACTCCTCCAACAAATCAAGCTTCCTAATCAATATAACGGATACTTGTAGAGATTTCCTACTTAAGGCATCAACCGCTACATTGGCTTTACTGGGATGATAACTAAGTTCAAAATCATATTCCTTAAGGAACTCTAACCACTTCCTTTATCCCATGTTAAGTTCCTTCTGGTCAGAAAGGTACCTAAGGCTCTTATGGTCACTAAACACTTCAAACCTTGAACCATACAGGTAATGCCTCCAGAATTTCAACACAAACACTACAAAAACTAACTAAATCATAGGTAGGATAATTCTTCTTATGGTCCTTCAATTGCCTAGATGCATAAGCTACCACCTCTCCCTTCTGCATAAGTACTCTTCCTAACTCCATCTTAGAAGCGTTACAATACACTGCAAAGGTCTCACTAAGTTCAAATAAAACTAGGATAGGTGCATTGGTTAATCTTTTCTTAAGCTCTTAAAAGCTTTCCTCACACCTAGTGTCCCAAATAAAAGGTTGTTCTTTCTAGTTAACTTAGTCAAGGGAAAAGCTAAGCTAGAGAAATTCTCTATGAACTGCCTATAATAATTAGTTAATCCTAGAAAGCTCTTAATCTCAAACACCAACTTAAGTGTTCTCTACTCAAGTATGACTTGTATCTTAGAAGGATCTACAATTATACCTTCATCATAAATCACATATCCTAAGAAGCTAACTTTATCTAACTAGAATTCACACTTGGATATCTTAGCATACAATTGTTTGTCCTTGAGGGTTTGCAACATTATTCTAAGGTGCTTGACATGCTCTTCCCTACTCTTAGAACATATAAGGATATCATCAATGAAGACCACTACAACCCTATCAAGGTAGGGATGGAAAATCCTATCTATGTAATCCATAAAAAGTGTGGGTGCCTTAGTTACACCAAAAGGCATAACCAAATACTCATAGTACCCACAACGAGTGCTAAAAGCAGTCTTTGGAATATCCCCTAACCTCACCCGGATTTGATGATATCTTGATCTCAAGTCTATCTTGCTAAACACATAAGCTCCAACCAACTGGTCTATAAAGTCATCTTAGGTAAAAGATATCCATTCTTAATGGTTACCTTTGTTGAACTAACAATAGTCTACACATAGTCTTATACTCTCATCCTTTTTCTTCACTATCAACATAGGCCCTCCCCAAGGTGATACACCCAATCTAATAAACTATTTTTCTGAAGCTTCTTTATTTGTTTCTCAAGCACAACTAATTCCTTAGGAGACATCCTATAAGGTGATGGAAATGGGTGTTGTACTTGTCTATCTCTCAGATAGTAAGCTAGACATATCTACAGGGAAGACCTCAAGGAAATTTCTCACTAAGGGAATCTCACTCAGCTCATTCTTCTTCTTAAGCTTTAAACAGGCAAGTATCATATACACCTTTTTATTTTCTTTCAAACAGGCAAGCTTTAAATTGTGAGACATATGTTGTCACTCGTCTTTTGTATTCTATTTTCTTTGTTTTGGCTTATTGTCATATAGATGAGCATAGTCATGTTGAGCATGTTGACACTGTGAAAGACAAAACTTAGGCTTTTATTCCTTTGATGGGTTGTTTCGATAGTTCGCGACATCGGAGTTGAGATTAGTTAGTTGGGTTTAGTTTATGAACATATTTTATTGTAGTTTTGTTATGATTTTTCTTTGAGAACTTGTAAAGGTCGTTATAGTGCCCGATTATGTTTTTATTTCAAAAGCTATAAATTTTATTATACACGTGAGTTTTATTTAGGAAAGTTGCGAGATGTGAATCCTTTTAACATGAGTTAAGATTTAATTATACTAATTATTTTATTTTATATATCATAATTATGTTGAAACGTGTTAGAGTAGAAGGGTCTCATTGTTTAATTATATCGATTGTTGTTAATGCTCAATTGCTAGTTAAACTTCATGGTAAGATACAGGAACGCTTTTTTGCATCTGATAGTAGGGCAAGGTTAAAAGTACATGACAGTAAAAATATAAGAAAATCTGTTTATATATCTCATCAAGACAACATTATACGGACAAAGTTTCATTCTGATATCAATATTTATTCACATCCATACTTATATAATTCATATGCGAGTAGCAGTCATTATTGGATTTCAAACATAGCTCTTAATTGAAGAACTGTAACCACTTTGGGCATCATAATACCTAGACCACAACATAACACCTCCATATTTAGCAGAGCCCTTGATGGCTGGAAGCACTTGGGAAGTAAGATCAGAGGCAGGAAGGAAGCCACTTCCTGCAGCCTGTGGTGAAGCTGGTAACCCCAAGAATATCTTGTTGGCAGGGATACCTGATATCCACTGTTTCCATGCATCTTCAAGGTTACTAATTTCACCAGAAGTGTATTGGCAAGGAGGGTTGTTGTAGAGTTGGACCCAAACATAGTCAAAAAGGCCTGTTGTGAGAGCATTTCCAATCCAAGCATCAGGAAATGTGCACTGAGGTGCTGCAGTTATGTACACTTTCTGGCCATACCCTTTGAGGAACCTGGCAAGATCACCCCAGTGTTGGTTTGATCCACCTTCAATGTCAAAATCAATGCCATCAAGAACAGCAGGGCCAAGAGGGCGAGTTGAAGATTGTCCTCCCAAGAAGTTGTTCCAAAGATAAGTGGCTACTTGGCTTGCATCCTGAGTGGATGCAATTGAGTAGCTTCCAGCACCTCCTCCTAAAGAGAGCAATACCTTGATGCCTTTGGCTTGACAAGATTTGATGTCTGAGCTTAAGCCAGTGCATCCATTACTGTATGGATCACAGTGACCAGCAAGATTGATCATTGGAGTTTGACCATCTCCAAAGGTTGGCAAAAAGGCTATGATCACATAATCATAGTTCCCTGTGGCACAAGCCTCGGCCAGTGTGCCCTCATTGCCATTCTGGCCCCAGTAGATTGCAATTTTGCCAGCATTAGAACCATTTGCTAGTGCTAACAAGGCAAGGCACAAGAATGTGACTGAGATTGCTGATTTCAATGCCATTGTGAAGAGAGCAATATCTAAGGAAATGTTACAAGATAGTTAAGGATTTAGGCTGCTTCTATGCCTAGCACTGCTGGGGGAGAACGGCTTTTATAGAGTTCATAATGTTTCAATCCCTTCAAAATTTTCTTTGGAGTTTTGCTCATTAGAGCGTGCCTTGTCAGTTATGTTTAATATAATAGTCATTGACGGAAGCAAGGTGCAAATTTACCAATATATTGGCAATTCTAACATCTTCTATTTGCTATTGTTCAGTGCTCTCCTAAATTTCTTCCACTATCCTCAACTTCCAAGAATGACAAATTAAATAACAGTCAAATCTATAAACCATGCGGGAAGACTATTATATTTTTTGTTTAATTTTGAGACATCAGTGGTGAAGTGATCATAGCATTCAGGTTTGTTACTCGTTATCTGAGAGCTTATTGATATTCATGAACTTGTTTCTTTGATAGCTGTTAGTTTTAAGATTCTGCACTGGCAACAGGGCTAGCACATATTCGTGTTGGTTTAACAACTAACCAGATTAACATACAAGTAGCAACTCATGTTGGAAATTTAATTGTGATACTATTAGCTAATTTTTTTTCCCTTCACATCTCAAAACTCAAGGAAAATAGTTTTTCCTTAAAATCTTTGTCCATAGAATAAAAGCTAACCAGATGTGACTATGTTATTCAACTTTTATATTGGCTGTGTAGATAATTTTGCAATCAGATTTGGTCGAATAATTCCAAACATTAGAGTTAATATTCAAATCCCTCCTCTCTTAGCCAAAGTACTAGTCAGTAGTCACATTATATCTGTTCCCAAACCAAATCCGGATATTTTGCAACTTGACTCCAATAAATGACAAACCACTGTTCCAATATCGCATACCTTTATTACATTTATTACTTCCTTTGCAATTTTTAAAATCATGAACAATGATATTTATATGCATCTTAACTAAAGTTTGTAATACTTCGTTAATTTTAGTTAGCTCTTGTAACTGATTTCAATTAGTTTGTTATTCTTTCATTGTATATATTTCATTTTCTTTCGGTAATGAAAGTTCAAGGCGTTCAATGCTCTACGTAGAGCTATTTTTCTCTTCTTTCTCGATTATTGCTGATTAACTTTGTCAATGCATATATAGCTTCCGAACATAAACTTTTGGCCTTTACCTTAAAAGTTAAAACTAAAATATTACCCAGAAAATAATAAATGACCTTCCTTAGTTAAACTTCTTTCTAAATAGTCATATGAGAATACAAAAAGTAAGAAAAACAAATCTTATTTTATAAAATAAAGTTAGGTTATGTATATACTACATTACTACTTATTGAACTTTACAACATTCAAAAATAAACTTAAACACGAAAATTATTAAATATAGAGTAAAAAACTATTTGGATCCCTAAAAGTGCATGACATTGATACTTTAGTTCTTCAGAATAAGAACATTATGTATAAGTCATTAAAAGTTATAATTATTTCATTTAAGTTTCTAAAAGTAATCATTTATTATTACTTTATTTCCTAAATATATATTAATATTATTATTTAAGTTACATGTTTAATTTTTTTGAATTTTGGATTAATGTGAGTAACATTTTTACATTTTTAAGAACTCTTTGAGTTTTATACTTTTCAAGTAGGAATGAAAATAAAATCTTACCTATAAATAATGCTCAAATTAAAATATTTAATTTGACCAAACACAAAAATAAATATCGATATAATACTCAATCTATTAAATCTGATACAAAGATAAAAATGAACAAACACATAAGTTCTTAAACCTTTTTAGAGCGTGTTAGCTCATGCGTCCATTACACAAGTCTTTCAATTTTTTAATGTCAAATTGATGATACACGCGGAAGTTACAACTCATTGCTTTCAAATTGACATAAAAAATTAATTAAGTCTCAAAGCACAACCAAACATGTTGAGGCTTTGTACTTGATGGATTGCGGATCGTCTAGATAGATTCTAGCTAGCATTAAAAGTGATTCCATTCACCTTTTAAGTTTCCCGCTTGAAGGAATTAATGTGCAAAAATAAAGCAAATCAGGACAGGACTAGCATAATCAAAGGTATAATGTCAATCATGGACCGACCAAACACATACTTCACCAAGGCCAATAAAGGCCACAAATTAAAGACTCGTGAGCCCAAGATACTGGTTCCAGATCCTTTACGTACGCACATACGCACATGTGTAAGGTGTAGTAAGCAGTAAGCATCATTGTTTTCACACACATGAAAACTCTTAGGGTTTACCAAGAGGGTACTCGACACATATGTTTATATTAGTATAATATTATTAATTTTGGGTTTAAATTTTTATAGTTTCTCCTTTGTCTTGATAATGTGGGACTTTATTTGTACTTTTTGACAATTATTTCCTCAAATAAAGGATCATTGCCTTCAAACTATCCTCTATTTCAACTAAGGATCATAGTCAACCTCCCTTTCAATGAATAAACCATAAATATTCAATGGTGGCCCCCTTTTCGCTGCTTTTCCATTATTAATCACATCAATGTAACACACTCCTAACTTCCATGTTACTAGATAGACCTCCACCTCCATATATGGATCCAGAAGTTACCAATCTGTCATATACTTGCTCAACTTGAGTCGGTTCTCCATCGACGCCATGTCCCCACTTCTTCTCTATATACCAAGATTTCACACATTTCTACAGATAGCACCACTTGTTAGGGTGCATCAAGGGAGATATCTCAGGCACTATCCACATTGTTATGATATTATCTATTTTGAACCTAAATTCTCATATATAATTTTGTTTTTAGTTATTTCTCAAAAGATCTTATACCAATAGAGTATATATGTACTTTATAAACCCATATTTTTCCCTTTATCTTAACAACATGAGATTTTATTTGTATCTTTCAACAAAAACAACCCCGTACATACCTCTCTCTGTAAAAGGTAGAAATAATTTCAATTTTTGTAGAGGACTCATACATGATTAAAGTGATACCTCAACTATCATCTCATGTTACACACACTAAAGTTAACTAAGCATTCTAAATTCCTAATTAGCTTTGAGACTCCCTCGTAAGTGTGTTCTATAGGCAAACAATAAATTAAATAGAAAATAGTTTATAGACACTATTATCCAACCACAAAGCAAATCATATAAAATAAGTTTATTTACTTTTATAATAATTGTCAAATAAGTTATACACATCAACAAAGTTCTCACATAAATAATAAGAATCAAATTACGATATGAGCTTACTCCATACCAATTACATTAATCTTTATTGGTTATCACTCTTTTAATTTAACATGACTTCATTTTTATTTATAAACAAATTTAAAATTTAAGATTAAAAACCAAACTTATTGTTGGGATACAAACAAGTCCCACATCGATAAAATAACACAAGAAATAACAACTTATATAATACAAACATACTTCAATGATTGAGAGGCCTTTTGGGTGATGACCAAAAGCAAAACCGTGAGGGCTAAGTCCCAAAGCGGACAATATCTCATCATTGTGGAGTATGTTTGTAATAAAATTATAAAATAACTCATAAAATATCATCTCAGACAAATACCATAAAAATAACCCCCATCACTTATTAAGGAGATACTTGATTCATTTGCACTTTTTTGTTTTATTTTTATTTTTTGATGAAACAATTTCATACTACTCATCAATCAATTACTAATCCAAAATCTATTAAGTTTTGAAGACGATATCCAAAATAATTAAATCCTATATATTGAACACGAACACCTATCATACACGATAGTATTTTTAGGAGTTTTAGAAAGTTTACAGGGTTTTTTTTACTTCTTATCTAATTTGACTTTTAATTATCATAATTATTTATGTATTAAATATTAATAATTTAAAAGAATTATCAATAAATGAATTTTTTTGTTAGAATACAAGATATTTATCATAAATATAAAATATAATTTATATATTCAAATATAATATTTATTTACATATATATATATATATATATATATAATTTATCAAATTTTAATTATATATAATAAGTAAGTAGTGTTAAAATACTAGTTGTTTTAAAAAAAATAATTTAGAGATATTTTCATAATTTTTTTTGTTTTTTAAGTAATCATAATATTGATACGAATTATATATTAACTTTGTTGATAACTAGCTTCTATTAAAAGAGATGACTGACCATCTTTATTGAAATTATCATTCTAAACTACAATTTTTTTTTCTGCAACACTTAAACCTAAGACCTTGTCAAAAACCAAGTTTAATTTCACACAATCAATTAGTTTCCCTTTTTTATTATTATTCTCAAATAAGAAGATTTTTCTTTAATTTTATCAAATGTGTGGATCCAATCACAATCTTCTAACAAGTACAAATTTTTTTCTTTTTCGATAAATCCTTTAGTTTCACTTCTTCGATAATTAGAAAGATGTTTTCCAAATAAGTTTGAATTTTTTTAGTATAAAATCCGGACTTTTCTACAAGAAATTTATTTACTTATTTTTATTTTTTATTTTGTTTCATTATGCATTAATTCCCATGAAGTTTGATCATGTAGAATCCAACTAATTTTAGCCTTTAGTGAAAATACAAAATAAATCATGTTGATTTTTTTATTTGGTTTTAAGTGTTCTATTATATTTTATAATCATGTTATTAATATAAAGGGATATCTGCGGTGTAGATTGATTCAATTTTCTATCTTAAAAGTCATTCAAATAAAAAAAAAAAATTGAATGCAATTTGATTTGGTTTGCTTTGAAAGAATTACAATTTAAAATTTATTATTTTAAAATTAATTAAAAATATGTTATATTATATTAGTTGTTTAAGACTGTATGTTAAAAATGAAACTAAAATTATACAAATACTAAACACAATTCTTATCTTATTACTTTAATAAAAATATTTCTTTAATAAAATTTTAATTATCATATTAAATATTTTTTCTCATATATATAGTTTGCCACTTAAAAAAATTTATTTTCAAACGTCGTAAATAATATACAATTTTTTATTCTAAAATTAGTTTAATAACTTACAATTTTATAAAATACTCTATAATATTATAACATATATTTTTAAAAAAATATTTTTTAGTAATTTATAATTTTATAAAACATCTTGTATGTTATATAGTAAATATGTTCAAACCAAACTGTACACGATTTTGAAAATTTAAAAACCGAGCCGAAACATTGAAAAAAATTGCAGTTTCATATTGGTTTTCGATTTTTTAGATCTGTTTGAAAATTTTCATTTAGGTTGCTTCGATTTTAAACATCCCTAATACAAACGACTTTATTTAAGTACTAAAATCACAAATCACATTAAAAAAAAAGTATAAATTTTCGGTAAGAAACAAGAAAGCTTCTTGGAATCAGATGGTTGGGAAAAGTTAGAAGTACCAGACAACCAAATATAAGAATATTTTCGCTGACATTCATATTTCATACGTCAATTCATATATAATTCATAAGTGAGTAACAAGAATATTTTCATTTCGCTGACATTCATATTTTCGCCGCGTTAAATCTTGGAGAACCTAACAAGGAGATTAGTCACTGCTATCGACGGTAGATACTCTAGGGACGAAAAGAAAAAAAGTGAGTAACAAGAATTATTGGATTTTAAACATAGCTCTTAATAGAGGAACTGTAACCACTCTTAATACATTGACCACAACTTAACACCTTAATGGCTGGAAGCACTTTGGAGGTAAGATCAGCATCAGGAATATGAAGCCACTGTTGGTAATTAGAGGATGAGAGGGATATAAACATTAAAAGCATAGGCCAAATAAAGAATATACTCAGAAGGTAACATATTGATTGATTAAAAGAAGTAAAACTGTGCACAATGATCTCTTATTTATAAAACTATTAACTTCTAACAGGATAGGTAACTAACCACAAGAGTATCTTGTTGGCAGGGATACTTGTGGTCTATTGTTTACACTTTACATGCATATTCAAGGTTACTAATTTCACCAAAAGTTTATATTGGCAAGGAGGGTTATTGTATAATTGGGAACCAAACAAAGTCAAAAAGGCCTTGTGTGAGAGCAGTTCCTATCCAAGGGTCAGGAAAAGGGCACTGAGGTGCTACAGTTATGCACACATTCTGGCTTTGGTTGGCCATGCCATACCCTTTAAGGAACATGGCAAGATCACGCCAGTGTTTGTTTGATCCACTTCCAATGTCAAAGTCAATGCCATCAAGAACAGCAGGGCCAAGAGGGCGAGTTGATGAATTTCCCCCCAAGAAGTTGTTCCAAAGGTATGAGGCTACTTCACTTGCATCCTCAGTGGATGCAATTGAGTTGCTTTCTCTACCTTCACCCAAGGACAGCAATACCTTGATGCCTATGGCTTGACATGACTCAATGTCAGAGCTTAAGCCAGTGCAACCATTACCATATGAAGGGTCACAATGACCAGCAAGATTAATTGTTGGGGTTTGGCCATTCACAAAGGTTGGCAAAAAGGCTATGATCACATAATCATATTTCCCTGTGGCACAAGCCTCCACCAGTGTTCCCTCTCTGTCATTCTGGCCCCAGTAGATTGCAACTTTGCCTGCATCAAAACCATTTGCTAGTGGTAACAAGACTAAGCATAAGAATCTGGCTGAGATTGCTGATTTCAGTGCCATTATCGAAAGGAGTTGTTTCAATTTTAAGGCTTCTATGTCATGCACTACGGCTTTTATAACTTTCATATATATATATATATATATATATATATATATCTTTCAATCCCTTCCAAACTTTGGAGCCATGCTCATTGTATAATGATATAATAATCATTGGTGTTGACTTTGTGGTAGCAACGAGTAAATTTACCAATCTCGCTCTTGGCAATTCTAACATCTTCTATTGGCTATTGTTCAGTGCTCTCCTAAATTTCTTCCACTATCCTCCACTTATAAGAATGATAAATTAAAGTAGTAGTCAGATGAACAAAGCATGCTGCAAAATTAATAATTTTTTATAGGCATCGGTGGTGAAGTGATCATAACAATCAGGAATTAGTATCTTGTTATCTGAGAGGTTATTGATATTCATGAACTTGCTTCTTTGATAGGCTTTAAGATTCTGCACTGGCAACAGGGTAAGCACATATTCGTGGTGGTTTGACAACTCACAAGAGTAACACACAAGTTGCAACTCAGGTTGGAAAGTTAATTTTGATATTATTTCAACATAATTTTCCTCTTCTCTGAATTCAAAATAGGCACTTAGCAGAAAAGTAAAATAATAACATTGAATAATTTTAGCATGAAAAACTTTCTCCATATGTGTAAAGAAAAATCACAACACCCGTAAATCACTTAATTAATCTTTATTATAACGATAATGAGAATACAATACACCAATATTAGATCTTCAATTTGTAAATAACACTCATAAATTAGCTCTTTATTTTTCTCTCAAAGAAATTTTCTAAGAAACTTTATCTAATTTTTCGTTTTTTCTTTCATTCTCTTTCTCAATGAAGATGAGGATTTCTTTTGTTTCTTGTTGTGCTTCCATATTTTCACTCCCTCTATTTATAGATGATGAGTTGCTCCTTTGGTACGATCTAAGGAGGGAGCAAGAATTATAGGTAAAGGGGCCCAAATAAAATTTGTCTAATATACATCAAATTTTCTTAAAAGTTACAATTATGTGTTACAAAAATTTATTTTTATTATAATTTATCAAAATGTAATATTTCTCGTATATAGTATTAAGTATGAACATTATCTATAATTAAATTTGAACTCATTTTTCAACAATATTATTCAATATATACTAGCAAACGTATTGCAAACTGTAGTATTGACTAGCATATTTATAACTACAAAAAAAAATTGTTGCACCAGAGATTAGAAACACATTGAAATTTCACAAATAATAACGACGAAAACCAAGACGAGAGAATAAAAATAAGAAAAATATGTGTAAAATAATGATAGGAAGACCAAAAAAGAGAATATTGGTTGATTATCTCAAAACTTGAATAATCAATCTCTTGCATAATGTTCATAAGCTTGTTTCAATCACAATTTAACAATTTTATTGTAGTAAAAATTGGAAGACACTTCTAATATAATTTAACTAATTAATAACATTGAATTTACAAATCAATTAGAATCAAATCAATATAAAGGAAAATATTGATGAAGTTATTTGATTAAAAATACAATGATTTATAACTTCTAAAATAATAAAAAATATATAAGATAAAATAATATCAAAAATTGAAATTAATGATGCTCAAATATTTTATCTAGTTATTCCTTCAATAAAGACTAGAAAAAATAAAATATTTTCTAAAATGATAAAATAATAGTGTTTAATTTATTATGTGCACTAAATGTGTAAAAGATTTTTCACTGTCAAGCAATACAAATTAAGATAGACATGAATTTTAAGCAATTTTTCTAAAAGTCAATAAATTTACCTTACATAACAATTTTTTATTAGATGATAATGTAAAAAATCTTTAGAATAATATTACATAAACTATTTTTAAAAATATTAATTATTTTTATAAAAATAAAACAGAATATTTATTAAAAAAATAGATAAGATATAAATAACACTAAATATCATCATATATCTATAACTATGGTCTAAATAAAAATAATTATAGTTTTTTTTTATAAAAACAATGCCCTAATTCCAAATTAAATATCATATATGTAAAAAAAATCATGTATCATATATTAAAAGTATGTAAAAAAAAATCATGTATCAAATAAAAAGAAATCAGGCCACCCTCCAACATTGTTCCGTCGTCCTTGGTGCAATTTGCTGCATTGTAAAATGTATGTAGGTGGTGGTTGGCAAAGTTTCAACTCTTCATTTAATGATTTTGCATTGACATTGTGTGATAATTGTTTTTCATGAACAATTTCTTACATTCACGTTTCCAACCCACTAAATTTGAATAGACCCTACATTTCTTACCCTTCATCCATAAAGAAATATCTTTGGTTCTATTTGAGATCTATGTGAAGTCTGCAATTTCTTTACAAAATTTCAACCTTTTCTTTTGTTAAAGCTTTTGTCACCATATCTACATCATTGTCTTCGGTGTGTATTTTTTCAACTTTCAATAGTTTACCCAACACATTATGTATCTAGTGATATCTCATGTTGATGTCCTTGCGTGAAAAGTTGAAGTCTTGTTGAAATGAATTATCTTTTGATTACCATAATAAAAAAAATATAACTTTTTTTTTTTATTTTGTCGTAACTCTTGATGGAAATCTTAAAAGAGATTAGATTGATATAATTTCTTCTTCAAACTTTTTAGATGGATCTTTCACTTCTTGGACTCCTTCAAACTTTTTCAATGACTTCCATTAATGTTAGAAGTCATATCTAACACACAAAAGAAGGTAGAAATTTCCTTAGGTGACGCCACACTCTTAAAAAGTGATAAGTCTCTTCAATTTCTCACAATAATCAAGAAAGGATAAAAGGAAAACAAATATCAAAAGGAGAAACAAGTTTTGAGATTTTGAGAGAGAGAATTAGGAGAATAATTTTCGTCCAAATCATATATAT